AACAGAAGTGGAAAGAGGAGAGATAAAAAGCGATACTTATGTCCTTTGCCGGTGTCCTGTCCTATTACAGCTGAAAGGTCGACTCTGGGGAGTAAAAAATAAGATCTCACAGTCCAAACAGAGTCAGGTGTTACAGCAATTTCCTGACAGTTTTAATCCTGTTTTCCACCACAACACAATAAAACTTTAAAAAAAGGAATGTGTGGAAATCATTATACTGGATATCAGTTTGCATATATATATATATATGTATATATATACAGCGGGTAAAATAAGTAATGAACACGTCACCATTTTTTCCAGTAAATATATTTCTAAAGGTGCTGTTGACATGAAATTTTCACCAGATGTCGGTAACAACCCAAGTAATGGTGACGTGTTCAATACTTATTTTACCCGCTGTATATATATATATATATACTGTATATACACACACACTTCCAAGACGTAGGCTAGAATCTGTGATTCCTAAGTACAGTGAATATCCACACCGGTGCGGTGACATTCACCTCAAAACATTAGATTCATCCGCGCTGGAGCCCTGCCGGTGCACACCCACGTTAAGAAAATAATTCCACAAATAACTGCAATTGCAGGTTTCAAACAGAGATGGCAAAACTTGCGGACTGCAGCTTTAAAAGCTTATTGATATTACTGTATTAAAAGCAGTGGAGTAGAGTATTATGAGAGCTGAAATTACCTGCATCTGATACAGCATTCATTCTTCAGCTCAATCTCATATTCACAATAAAACATTAGATTGAATGTCCGCTGAGGAAAGCGATATCTTTGTCGTACTATCCTTTCATCTGTTAAGGGTGATTTCCGATGACAGTGCTGCTCAGTGCAATTGTTGGCTGCGTCTTACAAGCTGTTGTTGAAAGTAAAAATAACTTCCTTGTTTACAACCGCGTTTCAGTTTCTTTCAATATAAGGGTGTACTCACACTAGGCACAGTTGCCTTGAACCAAGCCCGAGCGTGATTATCCCCCTCCCCCGCTGGCCTGCACTCACACTTGCACTAAACATTCCGGGCCGGAGCACGCTTACATCATGTACGTAACCCAATCCCATGCAAGTGCGTTTCAATGGCACGATTTTCTGTTTCTGTTTGGCGTACTATTTATACGCAAAAATTGACTTTGGCGTGCATATGATACACAATGGTTGGGTATAAGGGTGTGGGGTAGGTGCATATATGTACGCCAAACTTCGTATGATATGCACGCAAAAACTGTGTATTATATGTACGCCAAACACGTGTGTATCATATGTATAAATAGCATGCCAAATAGAAACAGAAATTCATGGCAGCTGACATTATAGTGAAAGAATTTGCCGCTTTACTCGAAAAACTAAAATTCCTGGTCATCAATATGAGATCCAGACCCGTTATAAACCTAAAGATACTTGATTTAATTAAATTAATTGAAAAGTGTACTGTAGTAGTAGTAATAGAAGATGTTTGCGGTCATAATGATGACTAATAATATTTCATAAACAACAACAGCCATCATAAAAGTTCCTAGGCAATTCAGTCAAAAGTACAAAAGCTGCGCTCTGATATACTGCATTGAAGTTACATAAACATGATGAGATTTTGCCAAAACTATTTGCTCTGGAACAAATAATAGATGAATGAGACCAAAGATTGCCTGTTGGATTTACCCAAAACGAAATATATCTCATGTTTACCCACAATAGAGACATCAGAGCCAGCGGTAAATTCCGGAAGATCTGGCCGAGGTGAGGCGCTCTCTCCTCGGGTTTATGAGCGCATAACGGCAGCTGACGCGCTGGAGCTCACGTCTCCGAAAACATCAAAGCAAATTTTCAAATAGACGCTATTTTTATTAATAGACCATCTAAACAAGCACATTCTCGCCCAAAAAAACTCTTAAAACTACATTCTGTAACACAAAACAGCATTATTTTTAAACATTATAGTGGATTTGGGCGGAGTGATACGAACAGTGAAATGGTTGTTGGAGTTCTGTTATCACTCTAATATCGCACTCTTATCAGCCAATCAGATTCGAGGACCAGAAATAACTGTTGTGTGTATATATATATATATATGTGTATGTATGTATATACTGTGTGTATGTATATATATAATGTAAAGAGGCTTCATTGTCAAGAATCAGGTTGAAATGAACACTGAATCAGATGGCAAGCTATTAATGTGTGAATATGTGTGTTTTGTGCAGAGTGCTGGACTTCCGGAGAGTTCCACCGGTGACGGGACGCTTCATCAACGTGACGGGAGAAATTCTGTACATAACACACAATGAAGAACTGCGCAGTGTGTTCTTCACCTCTCCAGGTTGACTTTACCAGTCACAAAACAAAAACATTTTATATAATACATACTACTGTAATTGCCACCAAAAGTTTGGGGTAAGCACTTTTTTTTTCTTTTATTCATCAGGGATGCATTAAATTGATTAAAAGTGAGAGTAAAGATATTTATAATGTTACAAACAGAGTTCTATTTTAAAATAAATGCTGTTCTTTTGTACTTTCTATTCATCTGTGAATCCTGCAAAATCAAATGTATCACAGTTTCCACAAAATTATTGGACTGTTTTCAACATTGATAATAATCAGAAATGTTTCTTGAGCAGCAAATCAGCATATTAGAATGATTTCTGAAGATCATGTGACACTGAAGACTGGAGTAATGATGCTGAAAATACAGCTGCGCATCACAGAAATAAATTACAGTTTAACAGATATTCACATAGAAAACAGCTGATTTAAATCACAATAATATTTCACATTTTTAAAAAAAATTTTGTTTAAATAAATGCTGAGCAGAAGAGACTTCTTTCAAAAACATTAAAAAGACCCCAAACGGTTTAAATCACAATAATATTTCACATTTTTAAAAAAAATTTTGTTTAAATAAATGTTGAGCAGAAGAGACTTCTTTCAAAAACATTAAAAAGACCCCAAACTTTTATATACAGTACTTCTAATTTTTGGGCCTGTTTTATATCAGAGCGTGAGTTTTTTCTTTGACCAGCCAACAACACATGTTTCTTCGCCAAGTGTTTATACGTGTGTAAGTCGGAGTATGCGGTGTGTGGTCACCCGGATCTGCTGGAGGGCTCCATGTCTGCTTATCTGCCGGGTTTGAGCATCGCGCCTCGAATCTCCATCCCAAACCCCTGGATCCGCGCCTACAGTTTCACCGGGACAGAGGAGTACGCTGGCACTGCCATACACACTCAATCACTCTTCACTTTCTTCTTTGTGACTTAACAAGAACAGGAATGTGTTTTAAGAAAGTTAAAAAGCATCCATTTAGATTCAGGTTAACTTGATTTATGCAGAAAATAAAACAATATTCCAGTCCGACCAACACTGGTTGTTTTATGTAACGTAGAATGTCCTTATTTGGACTGAGAAGTCCAGCTCTTGATCCAAACCGTGGCTAAGAAGCAAAGATGCTTGTCATGCTCACAAAAGGGTCTAAAGTTCAGTAATGTTCAGATGAGTCCAACAGCTTGAAGCAATTAACGTCTTCTCTTTCTTTCTCAGGTGGGAGGTCAACCCGTTATACTGCGATAACGTCAAAAAACTATATCCCTACAACTCTGGGAACAGACTGCTCAACATTATCGACATGGCGATATTTGACTTTCTCACAGGCATGTTAATATCCACACACGATGGAATTAACTTCATGCCAAAATTTTACGTAAAGTGATTTCATACCTGACAATCAAAGTGGTGTGTTGATGGTTGGTTTTGCACCAAAATAAGGAAACTTTAAAGCCAGTGTACTGACCTTAATTTTCCTTCATATTTTAGGAAACATGGACAGACACCACTATGAAGTTTTCACCAAGTTTGGAGATGATGGTTTCCTGCTCCACTTAGACAACGCCAGAGGGTATGTGCTCATCTGGACATGAACACTGAACTCATTTCTGCAATGCACTGCACAGTTTTCACTGCTGCGATCACGTCTTTTGCGGCGGCTTGTGAAATGCATGGCATTTTATAAACAGCACTCAAGTCAAAAGAGGTTCAGCTTTTAAAACGTGTCTTGAGACCTTGTGTTTCTTTTTTATTCCACTTCCTTACATCTATATAATAAAAATAAAGGTTCTGTGTGAATGGCCCCTCTCACTGTTTAATTATCAAAGCGGTTTATTGTCAAAGCCCATTTTCGATATAAGAAAAAAAATGTAATGCTTTGGAAAATCATGATGTAAAATGTCAAAATTATGAGTCAGTTATGAGATAAGTTAAAACTGACAAAAAATTGAAATAATGAGATGAAAGTCATAACTGAGTCGAAATTACAACAAAAAGATTAAAATTATGACAAAAAGTCCTGATTATAAGATAAAGTCAACAAAGTCAAAATTTCAAGTCAAGTCAAGACAAAAGGTCAAAATCATGACAGAAAGTCATAATTTAGGTAAGTCTTAATTGAGATAGGTAGAATTACAACAACAAAAAAAATCTAAATTATGACACAAAAAGTCATAATTGAGATAAATACTCAAAACTGACAAAAAAAGTCAAAATTATGAGATAAAAAGTTGAAAGTGTGACAAAATCATAATTTTGACTTTGTCAATTTCAACATCTCAATTATGAGATACAAAGTCATAATTATGTAAAAAATCTAAATAATCACACAAAACTCAAAATTGGGATAAGTTGAAATGTGACAAAAAGTCAAAATGATGACATAGGTCATAATTATGAGACAAAAAGTTGGCATTGTGACAAAAAAAGTCATAATAATTGAGATAAAAGGTCGAAAAGGACAAAGTCAAAATTATGAGATAAAAGTGAAAGTATCACAAAAAAATCGAAATACAAGGTAAAAAGTTACATTTTATGTCATAATTTGGACTTTTTGTCACAATTTTACTGATATGATTATGACTTAGTATCTCATAATTTCTGTTTTTGTCATCACTTGGACTTTTCCTAATTATGATTTACCAAAACACGATTTTATTTTGATAAAAATCATAATAATTAAGATAAAAGGTCAAAAAGGACAGTCAAAATTATGAGATAAAAGTGAAAGTATCACAAAAAATTGAAATACAAGGTAAAAGGTTACATTTTATGTCATAATTTTGACTTTTTGTCACAATTTTCACTGATATGATTATGACTTAGTATCTCATAATTTCTGTTTTGTCATCACTTGGACTTTTCCTAATTATTATTTACCAAAGCACGATTTTATTTTTATTTATTTATTTGTTATGTGGCCAATCGGGCTTCTTCATCCTCTTGTTTGCTGCAGATTTGGCCGGCCTTCTCGTGATGTGGTGTCCATTCTTGCTCCGTTGACCCAGTGTTGCATGTAAGGGTCTTTCTCAAATATCAAATGATATTATTCTGAAGTTCATCTGAAGGACGGTATTAGACATACACTTAATAAAGCCATGACCTCTCACAGGATCAAGCGCTCCACGCTGTTCAGACTGAAGCTTCTGGCGCAGTCCGAGTACCGTCTGAGCGACGTCATGCGGGCATCCCTCTCCAGAGACCCTCTCACGCCAGTCCTGACTGAGGACCACCTGCAGGCCTTGGACCGCCGGCTGGACCAGGTGCTCAGGACGGTGGGAAAGTGTGTGAAGAAGCTGGGAGAACCACCAGTGGTGATCACAGACTTTGTAGAGTCATCCAGAGTAACTACAAGCAACAGGTGACAGAACGAGAAGAGCCAGGGTTTGAGGAGATATGATATGATTATGACTTAGTATCTCATAATTTCTGTTTTGTCATCACTTGGACTTTTCCTAATTATTATTTACCAAAGCACGATTTTATTTTTATTTATTTATTTGTTATGTGGCCAATCGGGCTTCTTCATCCTCTTGTTTGCTGCAGATTTGGCCGGCCTTCTCGTGATGTGGTGTCCATTCTTGCTCCGTTGACCCAGTGTTGCATGTAAGGGTCTTTCTCAAATATCAAATGATATTATTCTGAAGTTCATCTGAAGGACGGTATTAGACATACACTTAATAAAGCCATGACCTCTCACAGGATCAAGCGCTCCACGCTGTTCAGACTGAAGCTTCTGGCGCAGTCCGAGTACCGTCTGAGCGACGTCATGCGGGCATCCCTCTCCAGAGACCCTCTCACGCCAGTCCTGACTGAGGACCACCTGCAGGCCTTGGACCGCCGGCTGGACCAGGTGCTCAGGACGGTGGGAAAGTGTGTGAAGAAGCTGGGAGAACCACCAGTGGTGATCACAGACTTTGTAGAGTCATCCAGAGTAACTACAAGCAACAGGTGACAGAACGAGAAGAGCCAGGGTTTGAGGAGATATCAGCGATCCACTGTGTTACTGACTGTGTACTTTATGATCACTTCCAGACTAAGCCACTGAACTAAATCAGACCCTGTTGTGCAAAATCATGGCATCTAAAGACATCAGGAGGAAAAAGTATTTGTATTTCTGATAAATGCTCTGGGGCTGTGTCATATTATTAGTCTTAATTGTCAAAATTGACCAAAAGGTCAAAATTATGAGACGAAAAGTCAAAATTATGAGATAATTATTGAGAGTTAAAGTTTACAAAAAACAAAATTATGAGATACATGAATTATCATGAAGCATCTAAAGATGAGATCAACGTCAATTATAAAAGTATTTTTGTTATTATGACTATGCAATTTTACCTGTCATGATAACTTAGTATCTCATAATTTCAATATACAAGTATATATAATATAAATACATGACTTTTTATGTCATTTTATTCTCATATTTATGACTTTGTGTCATAATTGATTGGCAAAAAATGGCTGTGTGATATTACTAAAAAGCCTTAAAGGTGTCAAAGAAATGAGAAACCAAAATTCCCTTGATCTTTTGACATAGAAGAGGTCATTGTGCTATAAAAACATCCTGTAGGTTTCAGAACTCTTAACTTTCTCGTTAGTCCAAAAACAGTTTATAATGAAGGCAGTCTGCCGTTTTAAAACGACAGCTTTAGGAATGTTCTACTCTATGATGTAATAGTGTGGATAAACCCCGCCCCCGAAGAAGAAGATCGACATCGCTGCCTGTTTAGCCCCGCCCACCGATTCTACAACACTGGATAAAACTGAGATAAATAAGTCAACATTAAAACAGTGAAATAAAAAGTAAATTCTAAAAAGCATGATTTGTCAATTTCGACTGTTATGAATGAGTATCTCATAATTTCAACTTTCTATCTCATAAGTATCACTATCTCATAATTTTGACCTTTTATCTCATGTTTATAACTTTGTATTATAATTATGATTGGCTAAAATTGGCTGTGGGATATTACTAAAAAGTAAAAAAAAAAATTTGAGGAACAAAGTCATAATTATAACAAAGTCAAAATGATCACAAAAGTCAAAATTATGAGAAATCAGAGAGATTAAAAGTTACAATTGTGACAGCTATAATTATGAGATAAGTCTTAATTGAGATGAAGAGTTGAAACTGATTTTAAACAATCAAAACTATGAGAGTCCAAATTATCATGAAACTGAAATAAAAAAGTAAATAAACAAACAGAATGTGTCATGTCTCATAAGTATCACTTTTTACCTCATAATTATGATTGGCTAAAATTGGCTGTGTGATATTACTAAAAAAGTAAAATTGAGGTACAAAGTCATAATTATAACAAAGTCAAAATGATCACAAAAATCTAATTTATGAGAAATCAGAGAGATTAAAAGTTACAATTGTGACAGCTATAATTATGATACGTCAAAATTATGAGATAAATCATAATTGAGATAAAGAGTTGAAACTGACTTTAAACAAAATCAAAACTATGAGAGCCCAAATTATCATGAAACTGAAATAAAAAGTAAATAATAAAAAAACAGAATGTGTCATAATCAGGACTTGTCAATTTCTACTGTCATGATGACTATCTCATAATTTCAACTTTCTGTCTCATAAGTATCACTTTTTACCTCATAATTATGATTGGCTAAAAAGGGCTGTAATATATGACTTCAGAAAGCTCCCTAACAACACATTTAAGTGGTTGTCCTGATCTGGTTTGGACTGAAATCCCGAGCCAGACACATGATGCAGCATCCGCAGGAAAGATAAGATCTTCAGATCTCCTTACATCAGCACACGCACCATTCATGTGGTGCTTTACCTGCACAGCGGGAAGCGTTTCCTCTGATTATCCCTTCCCTTTCTGTCCATTTTTCTACAAACAACCATTAGTGGCGGCTGAGCTGAGGATGCAGCACACAAACACACAGCCACATCACAGCGGTAGGTTCTCTACAGGAGCTAAAGGCTGATTTTCCAGACGGATCGTAAGCGTGTAATCCTCAGCCGTCTCATCTGCTCGTACTTCACAGGCTGTCGAGTCTGTGAGAACCAAATCATTTGACGTGTTTAAGCTTTGTTGCAGTTTGTGGTTCGCCACACTATTGCACTATTGTCTTGTAAATTGAAGCTGGCTTAAACATGTCAGCATTAATGTGACCTTAAATGCTCAAGATGTGTTAACATTTTATTTGTAACATTCTGAATTGGTGGTGGTGGATAAATATAATCTGAAAAACTGTAAATCAAAACCTGGTCATAATTATTTCATGACTGTTTGTCACATTGCCTCATTAAAATGACAAAACATTTGCATACTTTCAGATTCAGTCCAGCTCCTGAAAGCCTCATGTGATGCATGTAAAAACTATTGGAGTATGATCACAAAATTTACATTTAAGCATAAAAACATGATCTGATTTTACCACTCAAGCAGTCATGACTTGACCGAGTACATGAAATGCAAAATTAAAATTCATCACTTCAGTCCCATCTGATAACTTGAAGCAGTAGCTCGTACTTTTTTCTCATTTGAGGCCATAATAATGAGCATTTCAGCATACAAACCCAGGATGTTTCAAATTATATTCCAGAACTATATCTGCAGTATGTATAGCATAACAGCATTCAAATGCAGAAAGTATCCAACTATACTTTGTTTACCAAAATGTGGCATATACACTACAATTCAAAATATTTTTTCATGTTTCTGGAAGTCTCTTCTGCTCAGCAAGGCTGCATTTATTTGAGCAAAATACAGTAAAAACTGAAATATTACAATATTATAATTAAAAACAGCCGTTTTCTGTGACTATCTGTTAAACTGTCATTTATTTCTGTGATCAAAGCTGTATTTTCAGCATCAGTCTTCAGTGTCACATGATCCTTCAGAAATCATTCTAATATGCTGATTTGCTGCTCAAGAAACATTTCTGATTATTATCAATGTTGAAAACAGTCGTGCTGCACAATATTTTTGTGGAAATTGTGATACATTTTATTTTTCAGGATTCACAGATGAACAGAAAGTTCAAAAGAACAGCATTTATTCGAAATAATCTTTTGTAACAAATGTCTTTACTGTCACTTTTGATAAATTTAATGCATTCTTGATGCCTAATTAAAACTTTTTTTTTTTTTAAATCTTTCTCAAGTGGCCCTTCCTTTTTTTCTGACAAATGAATCGGAAGTAAATAAAGCTCATTTTAATCAAACTGCCAAAAATGAACACATTTTAACACAAAATAAAAATGCAAAACACTTTTAGCAACTAACTGTAACAAGTTACTGTCAATATGACACCTGAACAGCACTCGTATGCCACATGACCCTGTTACAGTAATAATAGCTCCATTCTGAACAGTCAGATTTTCTCTCGGTTGAACGCTGCCCTCTTGTGTCTTGTACAGCTTTATGAATACTTGAAATAAAGACAAATAAGATTTGTTCATTTGTCTGGAAACAAAGTCTTCCACTGCATTTGAGGGTTTAATAACAACCTTTTTATTGCTTAAACTGCCATTTGGACGATCTACACCAAAATGATCATTTTTTTCTGGGTAACATTGACAAATCGAACATCATCAGTGGTCCACGATATATCAGCAACTCATACGAGAGCATTAACAGCTCTATTCATCTGTTCATTCATCAGTTGCTCTCCATTCACTGATAGAAAACACAAGCGGCGGCGCTGCCATGAAGATGGAAATCAACCTAATAAACATTACAAAGATGCAAAGATGAAGCTGAAAGAGTTTGAAAATCCTGTGTTACACCATTTTAACATGCATTTCTCAAAAACTAAAACAAGGAGCATTTTGTGAATGAAGAGAATCAAAGAACGATTGCTTTGGATTGTTTAACAGCAAAACAGAATATGGACACGTAAACAACAAATCGCCAATCTTCCGTTTAACTTAAAACAAACAAACAAAAAAAACCTCCTTGTAGGATTTTCATAAAAACGTATTGACGTCGTGAGCAGAATGAATTTCTTTTTCTGCTTCGCGACTGTTTTTAAACAGTACTGCTAGAAAAACCTAATTTTATAATCGTTTCTGTCTTTTATTTCAACATTAAAACTGCTACAAGCCTGTTTAAAGGCACAGTTCACCCAGAATTGAAAATGTGCTCACCCTCGGGTCATCCCAGATCAGGATGAGTTTGTTTCTTCATCAGGTTTGTAGAAATGTAGCATTGCATCAGTGTCTCAGCAATGGATGCTCTGCAGTGAATGGGTGCCGTCAGAATGAGAGTCCAAACAGCTGATAAAAACATCACAATAATCCACAAGTAATCCACAGCACTCCAGTCCATCAGTTAACATCTGGAGAAGACAAAAGCTGAAACTAATCCAGCATTAAGACGTTTTTAACTAAAATACATTGAGTCCATGATCCATAATAACTCTTCCTCCAGTGAGTCAGTGTTCTGGTGTGAATCAGGAGAGAAATCTGCACAGATCAAGCAGCGTTTAAACAGCTCTAAACTAATATGTTAGCTGGATTTTGATGCGAGAGACAACAGCAGATGCACTTTTTCACTGGAGGAAGAGTTATTATGGATTATGGACTCATATTTGAGTTTAAAGTGTCTAAATGCTGGATTAGTTTCAGCTTTTGTCTTCTCCAGATGTTAACTGATGGACTGGAGTGCTGTGGATTACTTGTGGATTATTGTGATGTTTTTATCAGCTGTTTGGACTCTCATTCTGACGGCACCCATTCACTGCAGAGCATCCATTGCTGAGACACTGATGCAATGCTACATTTCTACAAACCTGATGAAGAAACAAACTCATCTTGATCATGCATGGCCTGAGGGTGAGTCAGTTTTCAACACTTTTCATTTTTGGGTGAACCGTTCCTTTAAGAACAGCCACAGAAACACTTGACATTATGACGTGTGACTAACTGTGCACCTTCGTGGAAAAATAAACTTGTTAAAAAATAAAACTGGTATTTCTCAGCATATACTGATAGAAAGGTAAATACTGAAGCATTCTGACTGAAAGCTCATTCGGTGACACACAAATGAAACGAAATCTGTCACGCTCTCCTCTAGAAGCTAAATTCAAGTCGAGAAGTGAGGCTCTGTGCAACGTTTGACACTGGCATCGCAACAGAACACTAACTACTATCGTTTCCAGCTTTCTCATAGTTATTGGTTTTCAAATGAGTTTTAAAATTTGATTTTACAATAAACCCTAAACGTATAGATACTGCACAGGAACGGCCTCACGAGTTTCTACGATAAGCAGTAACACGAGTTACGTAATCAGATTAATTTTTCAAGTAACTAGTAAATTTTAATTTACAAGAGAATATCGGAGTTACTTTTTCAAACAAGTAACGCAAGTTACTTTTTTTTCCAGTTTATTGACTGACAGCTCTCCTGTCCCCATGCTGAGAGAAATCAGATGTTACTGTAGTTCTAATATAAATATGAATATGCATTAATTCATCTCACTCACAAAAAACTAAAAAACACAGATTCAGTGTTCCTTAAAATGAATAAAAATAATGCAACTCAGAATATGACGCAAACCTGCAATAATTAAATGTTAAACAACACAAATATCCTTTATGTATTTAATCCCATTCTATTAGCTTTTATGGAGTAACGCAATATTGTAACGCATTACTTTTAAGTGTAACTTTCCCCAGCGCTGACGATAAGCAACTGAACACAAACTGCAAGAGTGTGTGCTGGAATGATGAGAAGAAATAAAACAGCATGTGTTCATGTTGATAAAGGAGGGGAAATGAGGCAGTAAGGCTTAAAGAAAAGAACCAGCACAGCCATATATGTAGGCAGTTCATCTTATAAAACTAGTCTTAAAAAACTGGTCTGTGAGGGTAAAATGGTTTTAGAATAACTCTACTATAAATATATTCATACTCCTCTATTGTTTTCATTGACTACTCGGAATTAAAGGTAAAAACACTGCAGAGTAAAGGCTGTGACTGGACTGGAGGAACGTACGTTTGATTGTCTGTCCTTTCATTCGGCTCTAAGTGTCCGGCGATGAAAGCAGCCGTTAAAGCTCTGGACTTAACGAAGCGGTAATGAGCCTCTGAACATGAGCTGGGCCCTGCGGGAAAGGTTTTCAGGGTGGGGCTCTCAGACGGAGAGCGACACGAAGCTGTTGTACTGTTGGATGTTGCGTTTGAGGATGTCTGAACACGGGCCCAAGACACGCTCGAAACGCGGCCGGTCCAGCTTGACGCATTTGAGCGGCCCACGGGCCACGACGGTGGCGGCACGGGGTCGGTTCATCAGCAGAGCGATCTCACCTAGTGAACACATACAACACACAAATATTAATGTTACTCATATTCTTTATTTGTATTATTTTTTTATATGTGACCCTGGAGCACAAAACCAGTCATAAGGGTCAATTTTTTGAAATTGAGAATTATGCATCATCTGAAAGCTGAATAAATAATCTTTCCATTGATGTGTGGTTTGTTAGGATAGGACAATATTTGACTTGATGTATTGCTCTTATCTGTAAGATCAAAACTGAAAGTGTAATTTAAGTTCTTTTCGGTGTTATCAGGAGAAGATGCCACAAAACGCGTATCCGCGTTAGTCGACCTCAGAGGGTTAAGACTGCTTTTGTGCTCCAGGGACACATTTTATATTAATGTCACTGAATATGATCTGTTAGTCAATACAATTCCAAATATAATACAATTTATTCAATACTTAGTTTTATGAAGCTATATAGTGCAATTTATTAAAAAAATAATAATATAAAATTTGCTATTTTTATGCCTATGAATTGACCCTTATGACTGGTTTTGTGCTCCAGGGTCACATATATTAATGCATTAATATATTTACATAAAAGGTAGTTCATACAAAAACGTCATTCAGAGCCTAAATCATGAAATGTCTGAGGTTCCATTTTTATATCGAGGAATGTGGATGGTGACTTATACTGCAGAACTCACCATCCACTTCTACTTTATAAAAATAGAAGCTCGGACATCTCTTTTTTTCATTTTTGGGTGACTATCGCTTTAAGAATGTGCACCGAAACTTACCGAAGTAGTCTGACGGTCCTACCCGGCCGACCTCCACGAACTCCTCATACTCTGACCTGCGCTGCAGAACGGCTGCACATCCCTGAGGAGACAGACGGCCGGACCTCAGAAAACACAACTCTTACGCAAACACTGACAGGCTTTCAGCAGAGCTTCAGATACTGCACCTCCAGGATGATGAAGAACTCGTCCCCTGGTTCTCCCTGAACCACGATCTTCTGTCCGTCCTCGAACTGCACCGGCTCCAGAGCGTCAGCCACGGTCAGACGCTCCCACTTATCCAGAGACTCTGCAGTCAGCACATACACTCAAGATACAGCAACTACACACAGAGCTCTCTCGCTCTATATATACAGTCATTTGTAGTTATAGAATTTGATAAATGTGACCCTGGAGCACAAAACCAGTCATAAGGGTCATTTTTGTGAAATTAAGATTTATGCATCATCTGAAAGCTGAAAAAATCCGCTCTCCATTGATGTATGGTTTGTTAGGATAGGACAATATTTGAAAATCTGGAATCTGAGGGTGCAAAAAAATCTAAATATTGAGAAAATCATCTTTAAAATTGTTCAAATGAAGTTCTTAGCAATGCATATTACTAATCAAAAATTAAGTTTTGATATATTTACAGTAGGAAATTTACAAAATATCTTCATGGAACATGATCTTTACTTAATATCCTAATGATTTTTGGCATAAAAGAAAAATCAGTAATTTTGACCCATACAATGGCTATTGTTACAAATATACCCCAGCGACTTAAGACCTGCTTTTGTGCTCCAGGGACACATATTGTCTTGTACTTGCGAATGCAATATCGCGTCTCGTCACACATCAGAGCTAGATAATCAGACTTACCTAAAATAGATACTTTGCTCATGAACTCCTCGTACATCTTCCTCTTCCTCAAAGTGCTTCCCTGTGATCAAACACAGGACAGATGTATGTTTTGTTGCGTGTGGTGTGTGTGTGTGAGTGTAGGGCAGCTGTACCATCAGTATTCTCCTGTAGCTGTCTCTGTCGATGCCCCAGAGCTTGGCGTTGGTCTTGGCTCGGACGGTGGCGGCTCTCGGGGTGCCGTAGATCAGAGCCAGCTCTCCGAAGCTGCCGCCCTCGCCGATGCTGGTGACCCACTCGCTATTCACACACACCTGCGAGCCAATCAGGATACAGACAGAGCAAATCCAGAGAGGGACTTTTAGGCTGAAAAATTTTTTTTTATATGAAGACATCTTAAACTGGGTGTAAAAGTTTTTCCGGTGACAACAGCGTCGTACTTAACAAGAATGAGTTCGAGAGTCAAAGTATTTTTATACAAATTAGAGATTATGACAATGCTTGAACTGCCGGTACTTTACTCTACAAAGCACAAACATTTCACAATTAACTTTTTGCGCCAGCTCGGGTCATCAAATACAAGTTTGTTAAATTCTAAATGGTGGCAGTTATAATTCAGTTAGTTTTGCCGTTCTGTCCGTTTGGTGCTGGCTGTGCATTATGACTCTCCATGTGAATTTTCGCTATTATTATTATTAAAGTTTGTTGTATTAAATACAACATAAATATAAATATTGTATTGTATGCTCTCCTTTGCATTATTAACGTGATGGTTTAAATGTACGTTGTATAATGTGGCCTGGGAAATAAATATTAAACAAGAGATGATTCGGATTCGTGACTTTATTCCTATCGTATCAGATTACGTCGTTGTGTTGAGTTTAATACGCTTCAACCGGACTCAGAATTGTTTAATGTGTTCTTGGAAAAAATGTGCATCTGGACATAAATGAGGTCACTTTTAAGTAATTTATCATGACGTGGTGATTCGAGGGAAATGACTGAGTAAATTGAGATAATACGCTCAAATGTACCGGCGATCAAAGACTATATAAAGAGGGATGTCGGAGATGGAGAATAGAAACCATCTGGCGCAATGTTATCACGAGTCAGCGGTCTGAGTGGCCTTAGAAGTTACAAACAAGTAAAATGTTATTTCTTTGTAGATTATATAACAACAACTTGGAAAACAGACAAAACAGAAAAGGTAAGAAGCATTATTTGAGAAAAGGGCATACTAATATAATAGGCGCAGGCCTGTAACAGAACTAACTTTACCCTGCGCTGACATGCTAGTCACTTGCTAATCATGCTAGCAACATGCTAGTAGCATGCTAATCATGCTAGCAACATGCTAGTTACTTGCTAATCATGCCAGCAATATGCTAGTAACAGATTAATCATGCTAAAAACATGCTAATCATGCTAGAAACATGTTATCAACATCTATTGAAATTTTCAAACCTCAGGCTTTTACAACTGCTTTAAACTCTCAGACTAGGCTTTCTCAAGCCAACCTAGTTTGTCTTGATGAACTTTTTTATCTAGTTATTATTATTATTATCAGGTTAGTAATACTTTCTAATTAATATTAGGGCTTATTTGTATTTTGTACCAATATTTTTTTCTCAGGATTTTTACAGTGTTATAACTAGAGCCCGACCGATATATCGTTTTGCCGATATTATCCGCCGATATGAGCCTGTCGCCGATATATCGGTATCGGCGAATATGCCGCCGATATGAAATTTTTTTTACAGAACATGTAATGCAGATAAAATGCTTGAAATGGTGTAATTACTTAGTTTGTCCAGCAGAGCGCGCTCCATTGTTTGCTACTGGCGACCTGGATGAAACGCTTTAAAGCTTAAGTAAATGGAAAACCCTTGAAACTTTGAACGGCCATATCTCCGTAACGGTGTGGCGAGTCCGCACCAAATTCGGGGGATCTCTTCAGCTCAAGGAACCCTCTCGAACGCAAATCGAGTGTACGTCTAGAGGCCCGCTTT